AAAAAACAAGCTGCCCCCATGGATCACATTGTTGTATTATTCGATTTTATTTGAAATATTATAGCATGAATTGTGTTGAATCAAAGCTGATTTATTAAAAGAGTAGGCTGTAATATCACATTTGCACGGCAGGTGCTAAACTCGTGGTTAGGAATAAATAAATGCCTTGTGCAAGGTGCTATGCTGTTGAGGTCATAATACCTCCATTGACACTAGAGTAAAGGAAGTGTGGGGGGATAGACTCTCTCCATTCTCTAGCGGCATATTCCTCCATTTATTTCACATCTATTTATACAACCTGAATTAAAATTCAATTTTGTATTTTTGCAAAAGCATTAATCCCCGGGTATTAACGCGATTACTGTCCGCAAAAGATATTTGAGTCAGAAAGTCTGAACGGAGTTTTCAGATGTTAATCCGTTGTTTAATCCCTTCCCTTGGCGTTCAAGCAGGAGCCCAGGCGAGCGGAGTTTTTTTTCTTCTTGTTAAAAACTCAAGCAGGGCAGAATAGGGCCATTACTTTTCAATGGTAATTCATTCCTTAGTCCAGTGCTTCAATTGTACCCAGATACTACTCTCCACATCTCAAAGCTCCCCTTCATCTTTGTAAAGGCATTAGCCAGACATAGAGAAAAATAAAACAAGTCTTGCTTACAACCGTGATGGAAACAAACTTATTTGTAGCAAACTGGGGTATCTTTCTACGGATTCACGGTTTCTTGGACAGTTCAGTTCCATTTTACACCCACTGTGTTCATTTCTAAATAAACAAATAAATACGTTTAATATTCTCCTGGGAAAAACCACAGCATCCCTACCCTCCCAAAGATCAGGCTGGATAATGCTCATAACTTTAAAACGAATTATCTCTTCCATGCAACATGCCTGGAGAACAGAGAAATGTTACAGAATAAACTCTAGAGAATGTATTTTTTTTTTTTTTTAGGTCAAATGTTGATTGGTGCACATCACAAATGACTTTGGTTGGCCAATTAGTCAGGAGACTTACTTATTTATGATCGAACATGGAAGTGTGTCCTTTATCACCATTCTGTAATAAATAAGTGTTTTATTCTGTTGTAGGGGATGCTACTTCACCCACACAATCATTCAAACGTTACGTTTAATTGTTATTTTTTTGGTGTACATTTTCCAAATTAGTGTGAAAAACAATTTTATTCAAATTAATAGTTTTTCAGTAAATATTGATTTGAATTAGCCTATATGAAAGCACATATAGCTCCCTCCAAAGCAAGTATGCTAAACACTGTCTTGCAGAGGCAAAACCTTAAAAGGGTCATGCTGTCTGTGGTTGGATGCGGTTGTTTGCCTATGGGTAGGCTATGCACATGCACACACTTTCCTCTCTTTAACCATACACCTGCTCGTTTGTGTTTTGGGAGAGAGTCAGCCATCCCTCAATTAGGCTTCCATCCGTGATACCTGCCTCTTTTTGTTTATTTGGGAACATCTTAGCTAAATTAGATCTCCAAACAGGTGCTATTATTGTAATGTGATGGAATCTCATTTAGGGCAACCTGAATGCTAATGGTGTGGCCTCATTGTGAAGCGGTCTCTAGACTGCTGCAGTTCGCGAACCTGCTGCTATCAATCACATGTTCTGGTCTAAATACAAGTCCTACTGCAGGCCCTATTCACTTGTCTTCATGTATTTACACAAGTGCATAATTTACCTCTAGTTTACCCTGCATTAGGGTCCACAATGAACATGGTGTCTCTAAAGAGGTTCTAATTCTAAAGATCCATGGCAACTATTGAGCAGATTGAGGAAACGGTTTGCTGCAGGTTTAAACAGTGTTAAAGAAGAACAAATATACAGCAATACTTCACTGTGATGTAGAACCTGACCTCATCAGCAGAGTAAACACCACCGTATGGCCACAGGCCCCTGGAAGAAGGGACGTGGTCCCCAGAGATGTTGACAACACCACGCCCATGTGCTGTACACCCAGGAGAATGCTTTACACAAGAGCAGTTTATTATGGTGGGATTCTGAGTTGAATGAGTGTGTTATCACCCTTTACAAGTCTTCATATGATTGATCTGAATAATAATACTGATCATGGGTTAGAATATAGGAATAACACTATAGTAATACATTTTTGGAGTTTCAACCCTTATGTTACATTCAAACTTTCCCTGTATGTTGACTGTTGACTGTATCCCTATAAGTGTCAATATCATAACTCTTGGGGCTAGCCTGTCTGGCACCTGGAGCAGTGCCCAGTGAGAGTGAAAACGACAAAACTGAACAAACGAGTGAACATCCCATCTCTCCTGTGGACAACTTACCGCTGCTACAACAACAGCCAGAGACAGTGGGTGGCCGAAGCACACTGGGGTCAGAACCAGGAAGGGGTGGTTGTAAATGGGGAAAACATTGCCATCAAAAAAAACCTTGGCAGAGCCGCATGTCATGCTGAACAAGCACTACGAAGGTGTCAAGGTGTTCCCAGATTATTGTCAGAAAATAGCAAAATAAAAGAGGAGCAGAGGAAAAGAGGCAGAAGGCTGAGAAAATGGGAAAGAAAAAGGGCCCCGTGTAGTTCAGTTGGTAGAGCATGGCGTTTGCAACGCCTGGGTTGTGGGTTCGATTCCCACAGGGGGGCCAGTATGAAAAAAATAAAATAAAATAATAATAATGTATGCACTCACTAACTGTAAGTCGCTCTGGATAAGAGCGTCTGCTAAAATGTAAAAAAAATGTAATGTAATGTACCTTGAACTGGACTTCTCTGGTAAAGTTCTGCTGCAGAGGTGGCATCTCGACTGAGCCATATGGTTTGGAGTGCAATAACTTGAAGCCGGTGCCAACAATGGAGTAATTGAGAAGGTGAAAGGGTCTGAGCTTGACTCGACAAAGCTGCGAAAACTCCCTCTTTCACTCTAATGAAGCTGTTGTCTGCTGAGTCTGTGTGGGGCTGGGGGTGCAGGGGGACGTGATTTGTCATACAATCTGAAACTTTAGGAGGGCCGGAGAAAGACCTCCTCTCCATATGTCTGCTTATTTAGCATCTGAAAGCTACTGGTTAAGAGAGTGGGGGAGAGAAGAGGAGAGAAGGGCAGTGGTGGACTTACCATTAGGCAGAAGAGGCAACTGCCTCAGGCCTCATATCATCAAGGTCCTCGTGAGCTGGGCATAGTAATACAAATAATAATAATCTAATCATTTTTATTATTTTATTTCTCCACTCGAGGCCCCCCCCCCCCCCCCCCATGCTCCACTAGAGCCCCCCCCCCATACTCCACTAGAGGCCCCCCCCATGCTCCACTAGAGGCCCCCCCCCATGCTCCACTAGAGGCCCCCCCCCATGCTCCATAGAGGCCCCCCCCCTCCATGCTCCACTAGAGCCCCCCCCCATGCTCCACTAGAGGCCCCCCCATGCTCCACTAGAGCGCCCCCCCCCCCCCCCCCATGCTCCACTAGAGCCCCCCCCCCCCTCCATGCTTCACTAGAGGCCCCCCCATGCTCCACTAGAGGCCCCCCCCCATGCTCCACTATAGCCCCCCCCCCCCATGCTCCACTCGAGGCCCCCCCCCCATGCGCCATTCGAGGCCCCCCCCCATGCTCCATTCGAGGCCCCCCCCCCCATGCTCCACTCGAGGCCCCCTATGCTCCACTCGAAGCAGCAATGAGGTGCTTTTAGAGCGGGCAGAGAAAATAAAAATGAAGACGATTTAATTTGAACAGAAAAATAACTTCAGTTAACGCATTTCTTTAGTAAAAAGACAGGTGCTGCTGATAATACTACCATCTTCGTGGATGCAGAGGACATGTACGTGCTGATGCTGTCTGGCCAAAAAGAGTATAGACACATAGGCTACAAATAGTAAGACAGACGGGCACGGTTTCACGCTCTTGGATGCTTTCTCTGGTGACATAAATTCACAAGTGGGGGCTCAGACTGGCCGCTGCCTGGGGCCTCCAAATCACTAAGTCCACCACTGGAACAGGGGAGCATGGCAGAGAGAAGGGGAGAGGGGAGAGGGGAGAGAGAGAGGGGGGGGGGGGGAGGGAGAGTGGGGGGGGGGGGGGAGAAGGGGAGAGGGGGGAGAGAAGGAAGAGAAAGTGGTATAAGCGTCGGGAGGGATGCAGTTTTTTTGTTTGCATCCATACGAGCTGTGACAATTCTAAAGCGGTGTCAAAGACGGAAGTTGGAATAAAATTTTTAAAAGGACTAGAAAATTACCTTTAACAACAAGTAACAAAGTGTAACATTCATTATACAGTGGGGAAAAAAGTATTTAGTCAGCCACCAATTGTGCAGGTTCTCCCACTTAAAAAGATGAGAGGCCTGTAATTTTCATCATAGGTACACGTCAATTATGACAGACAAATTGAGATTTTTTTCTCTCCAGAAAATCACATTGTAGGATTTTTTATGAATTTATTTGCAAATTATGGTGGAAAATAAGTATTTGGTCACCTACAAACAAGCAAGATTTCTGGCTCTCACAGACCTGTAACTTCTTCTTTAAGAGGCTCCTCTGTCCTCCACTCGTTACCTGTATTAATGGCACCTGTTTGAACTTGTTATCAGTATAAAAGACACCTGTCCACAACCTCAAACAGTCACACTCCAAACTCCACTATGGCCAAGACCAAAGAGCTGTCAAAGGACACCAGAAACAAAATTGTAGACCTGCACCAGGCTGGGAAGACTGAATCTGCAATAGGTAAGCAGCTTGGTTTGAAGAAATCAACTGTGGGAGCAATTATTAGGAAATGGAAGACATACAAGACCACTGATAATCTTCCTCGATCTGGGGCTCCACGCAAGATCTCACCCCGTGGTGTCAAAATGATCACAAGAACGGTGAGCAAAAATCCCAGAACCACACGGGGGACCTAGTGAATGACCTGCAGAGAGCTGGGACCAAAGTAACAAAGCCTACCATCAGTAACACACTACGCCGCCAGGGACTCAAATCCTGCAGTGCCAGACGTGTCCCCCTGCTTAAGCCAGTACATGTCCAGGCCCGTCTGAAGTTTGCTAGAGTGCATTTGGATGATCCAGAAGAGGATTGGGAGAATGTCAGATGAAACCAAAATATAACTTTTTGTTAAAAACTCAACTCGTCGTGTTTGAAGGACAAAGAATGCTGAGTTGCATCCAAAGAACACCATACCTACTGTGAAGCATGGGGGTGGAAACATCATGCTTTGGGGCTGTTTTTCTGCAAAGGGACCAGGACGACTGATCCATATAAAGGAAAGAATGAATGGGGCCATGTATCGTGAGATTTTGAGTGAAAACCTCCTTCCATCAGCAAGGGCATTGAAGATGAAACGTGGCTGGGTCTTTCAGCATGACAATGATCCCAAACACACCGCCCGGGCAACGAAGGAGTGGCTTCGTAAGAAGCATTTCAAGGTCTTGGAGTGGCCTAGCCAGTCTCCAGATCTCAACCCCATAGAAAATCTTTGGAGGGAGTTGAAAGTCCGTGTTGCCCAGCAACAGCCCCAAAACATCACTGCTCTAGAGGAGATCTGCATGTAGGAATGGGCCAAAATACCAGCAACAGTGTGTGAAAACCTTGTGAAGACTTACAGAAAACATTTGACCTGTGTCATTGCCAACAAAGGGTATATAACAAAGTATTGAGAAACTTTTGTTATTGACCAAATACTTATTTTCCACCATAATTTGCAAATAAATTCATTAAAAATCCTATAATGTGATTTTCTGGAAATTTTTTTCTCATTTTGTCTGTCATAGTTGACGTGTACCTATGATGAAAATTACAGGCCTCTCTCATCTTTTTAAGTGGGAGAACTTGCACAATTGGTGGCTGACTAAATACTTTTTTTCCCCACTGTATATTTTTTATACCAGTCATTGACCATGAGGAGGAGAACTGCTAAGGAAAGCCTTCTACACGGCCTGGTTTAGTTATGTTGAACCTTTTTCTAAATATAGATTTGTCTCAGATTTGATAAGGCTTGTCATTTCAGAGGTCAGTAGAAACACAATCCACCCTCCCTTGAAAAGGCTTCTCATTTCAGAGGTCAGTAGAAACAGAAGCCATCCTTGAAAAGGCTTCTCATTTCAGAGGTCAGTAGAAGCCGAAGACATCCGCCCTTGAAAAGGCTTCTCATTTCAGAGGTCAGTAGAAACAGAATTCACTAAAAACAAGGCTGACTTTAAAAAAAGGAATGTGATTGGACAAAGAGGACATACAGAGAATGGTGATTATTTTGCATGAGGTGTCACAATCAAGGCAGTAAGAAGACAGAAGACCACCAGGTAATGAAAGAACTATGACTAAACGTGTAAACATCATTTACTCAGACACTAGCGCTGTGTTACTTCACACTACTTGCATTTACAAATAATGTGAAATTATATAAATCAAATTCTCAATCCTAAAATAGTGGAAAATTAAGAGATTGGACGCATCATAAAACTACAAATATCATATTTAATATAGTCCTTCATGTAGTGACAACAATGTGAAATACTGCATCATGAATATTGAAATGGTATAAGCATACAGAATAATGTACACTATTTACAGTAAATTGGGAATAAAACTAATGGACAACAACACTATAGACACTTGGCAAAGGAAGTCAAATTGGAATATCTTATTGTGTATTTAGATTGATGAGAAAAAAAAGGGAGGATATCTTGAATACGGCATATTAATGAAAAAGCAGTAGACTTGGTAGTGCAAACATGAATTCAGAATATTAAAATGTAGTGCCACTAATAATTATTATATTTGGCTCTATTCACATCATACAGTGGTTGTGCATGGTGAATAAAACTAAGAATCCATTTGTACTATCTAGAAGATAGTGTGCATACTGCCACCTACTGGTCAGATTGTGTAGCAACACTCTGGATTATCTGTGGCTGTCTAGAAGCAAAACTCTGTTTTTGTTACTTTCACAGTTTTTACAAAAAGAAAAGTTGATAAAATATCATTTCAAAAATAAATTAATACATACAGAGACTGTAACACACTTATATTTAAAATCCAGTTGATTAAGACTAAAAAAAAGAATGTTTAATGCCTAATGCATTACCATCAACAATGCCTGATGAGAGATCCATTTCTCTTCTCCCTCAGTGGTTTAGTAAACTATTCAAAAACAAGTACAAAAAGGTATCCCATAGTTAATAGCTAAAGCAATTAGCAAGGTTGTTATAATCCAAGAAGCATCTTTCAATATAAAACGGATATGTACATCACAGTGATAGCAGAGCAGTAAATCGTTTGTAGGATAAAACATAAGTAAATGGTTATTCATACATGATCATGTATTTTTGACACACCACCCAAACAAATGGGTTCTGTCCATACTCCCATGTTATTCCAGTCTTCTGTCTGTCTGTCTGAGTCTACATGTGCACACATATCTTCCTCTCCTCAGATAACATTCTTCTCTCCTGGCAGTTTCTCCTCATTCTCCGTCTTCTTGGTGAAGACGGAGGACAGTTCCTGGAGGAGCAGCTCCTGAGAGGGGGTACAGGGCCTGTGCTGCTGCCTCCTCCTCGGCACTGGCTGGGGAGACTCCTGGAGGTCGCCTCCTCCACCCAGCACCAGGGTATCCAGAGAACCAGCAGGGGGCAGCAGACCCTCTCCTCCCAGCCCCAGAGAGTGCACCGGGTTGGGGCCGATCATGTGGTCCAGGGAGCCTGTCTTCCGGGGGCCCAGGCTGAGGCTCAGGGGCCGGTCAGGGACCTCTTGGGTCTCTGAGGTGTTGTTGGAGAGGAAGCTGGTCTCCAAGGACTTGAGGACTTGCAAACCGAAGTCTCCTACTTCCTCGTACAGGGGTTCTGGGGGTTCTGGTGGTTCTGGCTCTGGACGCTCCTCGAACGAGTCCTGCTGCACCTTCATGGGCTGGGTGGAGGAGAGGGGGGAGAGGAGAAGAGAAGAGAGAACAGAGGGAGTTAGAAACTCTCTGAATTTGAACCCAACCAGAGTTCTTTGTATGATTGATTATACACTATGTAAAGCTCTGGAACGTTCGAGGCAAAAGCAGAATTAGAACCATTATAATAATAAAAGGGGTTACAATGTAACTATTTGTTAGGAATGATCAGATTTTAAGTAGGTATTAAGGAGATGATCTGCCATTACAGTGACAAAAGAAACGTGTGGTTAATTTAATGGGACAAACATGGAAGGGAGTTACCCTTCTTCGACAATGACGTTAAAAACAACAGACTTCCTCTTATTAAGGTCTGGCCATTGTTCTGGCACCTCAGCAACAACCTCAAGGCAATTACTCAATACACCGAGGGACAAAAGAAAATTTCAAGGAAAAAAATTCCCTTGTAAATGCATTTTGGGCTGGGTTACTTCCAGTAGGTAGAACAGTAGCTTGGTCTCCCGAGTGGCGCAGTGGTCTAAGGCGCCGCATTGCAGTGCTAGCTGTGCCACTAGAGATCCTGGTTCGAATCCAGGCTCTGTTGTAGCCGGCCGCGACCGGGAGACCCATGGGGCGGCGCACAATTGGCCCAGGGTAGGGGAGGGAATGGCCCGGCAGGGATGTAGCTCAGTTGGTAGAGCATGGCGTTTGCAACGCCAGGGTTGTGGGTTCGATTCCCACGGGGGGCCAGTATGAAAAATTTTTATAAGAGCGTCTGCTAAATGACTAAAATGTAGCCTAATAACCACGGCAGACTGTTCTGTAAAACACAAGCAGGTACTTCACTAAGCCTCACCAGGCCTCCCCCTCAAGGCTAAGGGCCATAGAACCAGAACAATACTGGAGAACGACATCTCCTTCCCAGTCCATCCTGTTGTCTACACATCAACATCCTGATGCTGTAATACCAGGAAGTCAGGGCTTCCATCAGGAAGTGGATGCGTGGTTGGGTCAGATATAGTCCCTGTATAAACCAAGGGAATGTCTTTACACAGACAGAGAGAGGCTTTGGAGAACTGTTAGTTATGCGAGTTAGGAGAGCGTTAAACAAGTCCAATAGCAACCTTCAAAAGAAACATTGTGTTCTGTTTTCATCCTTAGCTTCTTGTTAGATGAGAATATTTTTTTGTTGTTGTAATTTAGCAGACACTCTTGTCCAGAGCTACTTACAGTAGTGAGTGAATACATTTCCTTACTGGTCCCCCGTGGGAATCAAACCCACAACCCTGGTATTGCAAGCGCCATGCTCTACCAACTGAGCCCCCGGGTTGAAAGTAAGGATGAAGATTCACCAAGGTGTGCATACTTACAAAGAACATGGAGAGAGTCCTTCTGGCGTGAAGCTTTCGCTGAAGAGAAAAACAAAGACATTTAAGTGATAATGCCCGAGAAGCCGGTGTTTGGAGGATAGACTGGCACGGGTGTTGTTGGGCCCGATACGAAGTCGAGTGCTGCAAACCGTGCCAATATATCCTCCAAAACACCAGCTTCGAGGGCCTTATCACTTTTATACAACAGGTTACCAACATATTCAAATAATGATTTACATATTTTCATTTAAAACGTTATTTTGATTAAAATTTATTCATACTCTTTAATCCTTCCACAAGATACAGTTGAAGTCTGAAGTTTACATACACCTTAGCCAAATACATTTAAACTCAGTTTAATCCTAGTAAAAATTCCCTGTCTTAGGTCAGTTAGGATCACCACTTTATTTTAAGAATGTGAAAATGTCAGAATAATAGTAGAGAGAATTATTTATTTCAGCTTTTATTTATTTTATCACATTCCCAGTGGGTCAGAAGTTTACATACACTCAATTAGTATTTGGTAGCATTGCCTTTAAATTGTTTAACTTGGGTCAAACCTGTCGGGTGGAATTTTGGCCCATTCCCCCCGACAGAGCTGGTGTAACTGAGTCAGGTTTGTAGGCCTCCTTGCCCGCACACACTTTTTCAGTTCTCCCACAAATATTCTATAGGATTGAGGTCAGGGCTTTGTGATGGCCACTCCAATACCTTGACTTTGTTGTCCTTAAGCCATTTTGCCACAACTTTGGAAGTATGCTTGGGGTTGTCCATTTGGAAGACCCATTTGCGACCAAGCTTTAACTTCCTGACTGATGTCTTGAGATGTTGCTTCAATATATCCACATCATTTTCCTTCCTCATGATGCCATCTATTCTACTGAAGTGCACCAGTCCCTCCTGCAGCAAAGCACCCCCCCACTGCATGATGCTGCCACCCCCGTGCTTCACGGTTGGGATGGTGTTCTTTGGCTTGCAAGCCACACCCTTTTTCGTCCAAACATAACAATGGTCATTATGGCCAAACAGTTCTATTTTGGTTTCATCAGACCAGAGGACATTTCTCCAAAAAGTATGATCTTTGTCCACATGTACAGTTGCAAACCGTAGTCTGGCTTTTTTATGGCAGTTTTGGAGCAGTGGCTTCTTCCTTGCTGAGCGGCCTTTCAGGTTATGTAGATATAGGACTTGTTTTACTGTGGATATAGATACTTTTGTACCTGTTTCCTCCAGCATCTTCACAAGGTCCTTTGCATTTGTTCTGGGATTGATTTGCACTTTTTTAGCACCAAAGTACGTTCATCTCTAGGAGACAGAATGCGTCTCCTTCCTAAGTGGTATGACGGCTGCGTGGTCCCATGGTGTTTATACTTGTGTACTATTGTTTGTACAGATGAACGTGGTACCTTCAGGCGTTTGGAAATTGCTCCCAAGGATTAACCAGACTTGTGGAGGGTCTACAACATTTTTTTCGGAGGTCTTGGCTGATTTCTTTTGATTTTCCCATGATGTCAACCAAAGAGGCACTGAGTTTGACGGTCGGCCTTGAAATACATCCACAGGTACACCTCCAATTGACTCAAATGATGTCAATTAGCCTATCAGAAGCTTCTAAAGCCATGACATCCTTTTCTGGAATTTTCAAAGCTGTTTAAAGGCACAGTCAACTTATGTAAACTTCTGACCCACTGGAATTGTGATACAGTGAATTATAAGTGAAATAATCTGTCTGTAAACAATTGTTGGAAAAATTACTTGTGTCATGCACAAAATAGATGTCCTAACCGACTTGCCAAAACTATAGTTTGTTAATAAGAAATGTGGAGTGGTTGAAAAACAAGTTTTAATGACTCCAACCTATGTTTAGGTAAACTTCCGACTTCAACTGTATAGTCGCGACACAAATCTAGGGTTGCTACCACAAGCCGGCTGGTTGTTTGTTCTATCGGTTCGGTTGCAGGAACACGACCCAGTCCTTCAGCCTTTTTGTTCTGTATCTATGGACACGACCCAGTCCTTCAGCCTTTTTGTTCTGTATCTATGGACGACAACCCAGTCGTTCAGTCTTTTTGTTCTGTATCTATAGACACGACCCAGTCTTTCAGTTCTGTATCTATAGACACAACCCAGTCGTTCAGTCTTTTTGTTCTGTATCTATAGACATGACCCAGTCGTTCAGTCTTTTTGTTCTGTATCTATGACGCGACCCAGTCTCGTCGTACTTAAACACCCTCTTCAGTCTTTTTGTTCTGTATCTATAGACGAGACCCAGTCATTCAGTCTTTTTGTTCTGTATCTATAGACGCGACCCAGTCTTCAGTCTTTTTGTTCTGTATCTATGACGACCATCATTCACTTTGTCTTATCTAGGTGCGACCCGTCTTCAGTCTTTTGTTCTGTATCTATGACACGACAGACGGCGACCCAGTCGTTCAGTCTTTTTGTCCTGTATCTATGGACGCGACCCAGTCGTTCAGTCTTTTTGTTCTGTATCTATGGACGCGACCCAGTCGTTCAGTCTTTTTGTTCTGTGTCTATGGACGCGACCCAGTCATTCAGTCTTTTTGTTCTGTATCTATAGACGCGACCCAGTCATTCAGTCTTTTTGTTCTGTATCTATGGATGCGACCCAGTCATTCAGTCTTTTTGTTCTGTATCTATGGACACAACCCAGTCGTTCAGTCTTTTTGTTCTGTATCTATGGACGCGACCCAGTCGTTCAGTCTTTTTGTTCTGTATCTATGGACACAACCCAGTCGTTCAGTCTTTTGTTCTGTATCTATGGACGCGACCCAGTCGTTCAGTCTTTTTGTTCTGTATCTATAGACGCGACCCAGTCATTTCAGTCTTTTTGTTCTGTATCTCTATGGATGCGACCCAGTCATTCCAGTCCTTTTTTGTTCTGTATCTATGGACACAACCCAGTCGTTCAGTCTTTTTGTTCTGTATCTATGGACACAACCCAGTCGTTCAGTCTTTTTGTTCTGTATCTATGGACGCGACCCAGTCATTCAGTCTTTTTGTTCTGTATCTATGGACACAACCCAGTCGTTCAGTCTTTTTGTTCTGTATCTATGGACGCGACCCAGTCGTTCAGTCTTTTTGTTCTGTATCTATGGACGCGACCCAGTCGTTCAGTCTTTTTGTTCTGTATCTATAGACGCGACCCAGTCGTTCAGTCTTTTTGTTCTGTATCTATAGACGCGACCCAGTCGTTCAGTCTTTTTGTTCTGTATCTATAGACACGACCCAGTCGTTCAGTCTTTTTGTTCTGTATCTATGGACACAACCCAGTCGTTCAGTCTTTTTGTTCTGTATCTATGGACACAACCCAGTCGTTCAGTCTTTTTGTTCTGTATCTATGGACATGACCCAGTCGTTCAGTCTTTTTGTTCTGTATCTATAGACGCGACCCAGTCGTTCAGTCTTTTTGTTCTGTATCTATGGACACAACCCAGTCGTTCAGTCTTTTTGTTCTGTATCTATGGACACGACCCAGTCGTTCAGTCTTTTTGTTCTGTATCTATAGACGCGACCCAGTCGTTCAGTCTTTTTGTTCTGTATCTATGGACACAACCCAGTCGTTCAGTCTTTTTGTTCTGTATCTATGGACACAACCCAGTCGTTCAGTCTTTTTGTTCTGTATCTATAGACGCGACCCAGTCGTTCAGTCTTTTTGTTCTGTATCTATAGACGCGACCCAGTCGTTCAGTCTTTTTGTTCTGTATCTATGGACACAACCCAGTCGTTCAGTCTTTTTGTTCTGTATCTATGGACACGACCCAGTCGTTCAGTCTTTTTGTTCTGTATCTATGGACACAACCCAGTCGTTCAGTCTTTTTGTTCTGTATCTATGGACACGACCCAGTCGTTCAGTCTTTTTGTTCTGTATCTATGGACACGACCCAGTCGTTCAGTCTTTTTGTTCTGTATCTATGGACGCGACCCAGTCGTTCAGTCTTTTTGTTCTGTATCTATGGACGCGACCCAGTCGTTCAGTCTTTTTGTTCTGTATCTATGGACGCGACCCAGTCGTTCAGTCTTTTTGTTCTGTATCTATGGACGCGACCCAGTCTTTCAGCCAACAACACAGCTAACACAATCACTTTAAACTGAAGCTGGAAAGATGCAAACTAGCTGCATTTCGTTTTGTTTTACCAGTTTTCTATTTACATTTCTCTGTATATGTCCATAAAAATTATGCTGATTCATGATTTCGACTGGCTGAGAAAAGCTGCCTGCCTGCCTGTCTGTCTCTTCCCGACACATTTATTACTATGGGACAGCTGGAGATCGAATTTGAATATTGAAACAATGTTGCAAATGTCAGAGACAGACAGCCAGTTTTATACAAATCTCTGCTGTTGAAAACCAATTGCTAGTGTAAAAGAAATGGGAGATAATGTCTAGATGCTTTTTACAGTGGAGATCAAGTTTATAAATTGCCTGGCTGGGCTGATGAGACAGTGGATTGCACGGTGAGATGAAGCAGAGTAATTAGGCATTTCAACGTCATTGTTTTAGCCGGTGGTAATTTGTGGAATAGACACCGGCTGGAATGTGGTTTTAACCAATCAGCATCCAGGATTAGACCACTCGTTGTATAAATGGAGACAGTTTTCCTGACCCAGATTAAGCCTATTGCTGGACCAAAAATTATGCTTTGACTTGCTTTTTCAGTCCAGAACTAGTCTTAATCTGGGTCAGGGAAACTGGCCCATAGTGAATACTCTACAGTAAAGGGATAGTGAAGGACATGGAATACTATACATACTAGATACCAAAGGGTTACAGAAATGGGAGACAGAAAGGAGTGATCTCGATACAAAAACAAGCTTTGTGTGAAGTAAACAACTTGGGCTCAAAACATGCAAAACGTCAACAACAACCCAAACGTGCAGTACTGATGTGACTAAAGGCTCCCCATACTAGGTTCAGTTAGCTAAAGGCACCCATACTAGGTTCGGTTAGCTAAAGGCTCCCCATACTAGGTTCGGTTAGCTAAAGTCTCCCCATACTAGGTTCAGTTAGCTAAAGGCTCCCCATACTAGGTTCAGTTAGCTAAAGGCTCCCCATACTAGGTTCGGTTAGCTAAAGGCTCCCCATACTAGGTTCGGTTAGCTAAAGGCTCCCCATACTAGGTTCAGTTAGCTAAAGGCTCCCCATACTAGGTTCAGTTAGCTAAAGGCTCCCCATACTAGGTTCAGTTAGCTAAAGGCTCCCCATACCAGGTTCAGTTAGCTAAAGGCTCCCCATACTAGGTTCAGTTAGCTAAAGGCTCCCCATACTAGGTTCGGTTAGCTAAAGGCTCCCCATACTAGGTTCGGTTAGCTAAAGGCTCCCCATACCAGGTTCAGTTAGCTAAAGGCTCCCCATACTAGGTTCAGTTAGCTAAAGGCTCCCCATACTAGGTTCAGTTAGCTAAAGGCTCCCCATACTAGGTTCAGTTAGCTAAAGGCTCCCCATACTAGGTTCAGTTAGCTAAAGGCTCCCCATACTAGGGTTCAGTTAGCTAAAGGCTCCCCATACTAGGTTCGGTTAGCTAAAGGCTCCCCATACTAGGTTCAGTTAGCTAAAGGCTCCCCATACCAGGTTCGTTAGCTAAAGGCTCCCCATACCAGGTTCAGTTAGCTAAAGGCTCCCCATACTAGGTTCAGTTAGCTAAAGGCTCCCCATACTAGGTTCGGTTAGCTAAAGGCTCCCCATACAGGTTCGGTTAGCTAAAAGGCTCCCCATACTAGGTTCGGTTAGCTAAAGGCTCCCCATACTAGGTTCAGTTGGCTAAAGGCTCCCCATACTAGGTTCAGTTGGCTAAAGGCTCCCCATACTAGGTTCAGTTAGCTAAAGGCTCCCCATACTAGGTTCAGTTGGCTAAAGGCTCCCCATACTAGGTTCAGTTAGCTAAAGGCTCCCCATACTAGGTTCAGTTAGCTAAAGCTCCCCATACTAGGTTCGGTTAGCTAAAAGCTCACATACCAGTCGGTTAGCTAAAGGCTCCCCATACTAGGTTTAGTTAGCTAAAGGTCACATACTAGGTTCAGTTGGCAAAGGCTCCCCATACTAGGTTCAGTTAGCCAAAGGCTCCCCATACTAGGTTCATGGTAACAGGCTCCCCATACTAGGTTCCAGTTAGCTAAGGCTCCCCAATACTAGGTTCAGTTAGCTAAAGGCTCCCCATACTAGGTTCAGTTAGCTAAAGGCTCCCCATACTAGGTTCAGTGTGCTCCTAGCAGAACTCGGCTAGGTGAAATGAACGTCTGTGCCTCGCATACTCCCTTAAAAGACCTTTGCTTGAAAAACAAGAAAAAAAAGTGGGAACATTACTGTTTGTCTCTCTTGAGATGCCGTAGCAACAACATAAGCAGTATACCAAATTAATTCAAGAAATCTGTAATTCATTTTTGCCAAGGAGGTCTTAGTCGCACAATTTTCCATCTAACTAAGATGTTTGGTGCAGTATTTCTCAAGTGAAAGAATTTGCATGAAAACTAGTCGTCTCTAGTCGAATGACAACAAACACTTCATTGAATAATCCCGTCCATAGTTTTCACTCCTACTAGGAGTAGTACTGTTGACCAATAACCGACGAAAGGGGTGTAGACTTCGGCTACCGAACTTCGACTTGCCTCTAGAAAAAAATGTGTGTGAGCGAACAGCCGAAAAACCCCTGCCTAACAGCAAAACGATCAAAAATGCCACAACATGTTGTCATAATACATGCGCAAATTGTTTCAACTGGGAAGCACACAACAGGCTTAAAAGTATAGGGTGGGTAGAGGGTGTGGGTGGTTGTCTCCTGCAGAACCATACCAGAGTCTGATTGGCTGACAACATGGTAGAGTTGGAACATACCAGAGTCTGATTGGCTAAGAGCATGGTTGAGTTGAAGTCGAAATTGGTTGAGTTTAAACATACCAGAGTCTGATTGGCTGACAGCATGGTAGAGTTGGAACGTACTAGGGTCTGATTGGCTGACAACATGGTAGAGTTGGAACATACCAGAGTCTGATTGGCTGACAGCATGGTAGAGTTGGAACGTACCAGAGTCTGATTGGCTGACAGCATGGTAGAGTTGCTCTCGTGTCCGTCCCCTCTGATTGGTACTAGGGGCATGGTCCCAAACTTCTGTTTGGAGATATCTGAGGAGGAGTGACGTCTCAACACCGGAGGTCGGGTGTCATCATTCTGTTAGAGGGAATCAAACGAATCAAAATTAAATCGAATGGATGAAATGAAACAGACATAAGTAAAAATCTAAAGCGTAGGTGTTACACCCAAAAAAGACTGGGGAAAGCAAACTCTAAATCATGTAAAAGTGTTGCAAAACAACTCATACACTGAGGAGGGGAACTAGGCTCCACAACATACCTGTGCTTTGAGGAAATTGGTGACCCAGTCCCACAGGTCAGACTCACAAAAGCAACAAAGGTACCTGGGAGACACAAAAACACAAAGCAGTGATTAGCTCTTAAAGGGGAGGAGGGAGGTCTCATTTAAAAGGGGAGGGGAGAGGCAGATCTAAAACAAGACATTCCAACCTCCCCCCAAAAACAATGTAGTCCACTTACATAACATCATAACATCCTATGTCATGCCAAAACCATTCAATATACAGTAAACAATGAGGATTTCAATGAGGAATTTCAAATACTTGAGAAAACATGATGTATGTCCTATAAGAATATGTTTCAGTCTTATCCAATAGAAGTTGTGATTCGAGATTTCCCAGACATCCTTTGCAATGACCCAAATAATTTGCAGCAAAATTGTGGTATTTCCTTTCATTGCCAGACAAGATTTTGAAGTGAACACCTACAGCTGATGTTTCTCCATCATCAGAGTAAAGCCCCATCTAGTGGGCGGTTTCAGCTTCTTTCGAATTCCCATGTAGATCTTCATAGACTTCAGAGCCCATTCCTTTTCAGGCTTGATGCTCTGAAATGTACAGTAAGAACATATTTATAGGAAAGACAAACTGGACAATCACAGCTCCACCTGCGATAACTACACTGGCCCATATGAGCGCAGAGTTCCATCTTCAAGATGTGACCGTGACGCGAGAGCAGAAATACCTTTTTGTCCTTCAGCAGCAGCAGCCTGTGGTCTTTGATCTGAAAGGTGTGTTCCTGAAAGCCTTTTCCGTGGAGGAGTTTGGGGGGCTCTTCACGACACTTAAGAACTCCCATCTTCATTATCTCACTCTGGTAGGCTGTGAATTAAAAAACATCATAATTGCAATCATACTGTGTATAACAATGACAGTCTCCAAATAAATGGTCACGCATGAACGTAAGAGCAACAACAAAATTGGGCTGATTAAAATCGATGATCAAAAATCAAAGAGGGTCATTTGATTGTGATTGTTTGGGATTGATAGACCAAGCTAATGATTGTGATTGTTTGGGATTGATAGACCAAGCTAATGATTGTGATTGTTTGGGATTGATAGACCAAGCTAATGATTGTGATTGTTTGGGATTGATAGACCAAGCTAATGATTGTGATTGTTTGGATTGATAGACCAAGCTAATGAGCTATTTCTCCGGGCTGCGCAGTATTCACCAGTCAGGATGTTAATGCCCTCTCCTTTGGGAACTCTCTTCACCACCAGGTAAGCGGAACTAGGATCAGCCATTTTACACCACTGTAGTGCCTGCTCCAGCACTTTCTCTTTGGGGTGTAGGGGGCGCTCTGTGGAACAAAGACAACATTTGAACATAAAAAAATAAAATAAAAACCTGAAGTGAAACTATACAGTATGATGTCCTGGAATTTCCTTCCGTAAAAAATATAAGGGGAATACAACTAGACTGTGCGAAAGTCTTCACGTTTCAAAGATAAACTATCCCAGCCAGAGCCCGGATCTTGAACATCTCTGGAGACACCTGAAAATAGCTGTGCAGCGACGCTCCCCATCCAACCTGACAGAGCTTGAGAGGATCTGCAGAGAAGAAATGGGAGAAACTCCCCAAATACAGGTGTGCCAAGCTTGTAGCGTCATACCCAAGAAGACTCAAGGCTGTAATCGCTGCCAAAGGTGCTTCAACAAAGTACTGAGTAAAGGGTCTGAATACTTATGTAAATATGATAATGCAGTTTTTAATTTTTTATAAATTATAAACAGATTCTAAAAACCTGTTTTTGCTTTGTCATTATGGGGTATTGTGTGTAGACTGATGAGGGGGGAAAACAATGTAATCAATTTTTGAATAAGGCTGTAACGTAACAAAATGTTGAAAAAGTCAAGGGGTCTGAATACTTTCCGAATGCACTGTAAATGCTATTTTGAGCTGTTTTTAGATGTTCTATAGTATTCCCAGTCAGAGATAGTAACACCATGCTCCTCACCCAGTCAGAGATAGTAACATCATGCTCCTCACCCAGTCAGAGATAGTAACATCATGCTCCTCACCCAGTCAGAGATAGTAACATCATGCTCCTCACCCAGTCAGAGATAGTAACACCATGCTCCTCACCCAGTCAGAGATAGTAACATCATGCTCTTCACCCAGTCAGAGATAGTAATATGATGCTTCTCACCCAGTTGTCCTTCCTCTATGGCCTCGAACGTCAGCCACACGTCCTTCTCCCCTGCTGGGACGTTCCTCATGTACAGGACCTGGTTAGTCAACTCCTCAGCACCCATGGTTGGAGACACCTACAGAGAACCAGACCATAAAGAGATACCTACAGAGAACCAGACCATAAAGAGATACCTACAGAGAACCAGACCATAAAGAGATACCTACAGAGAACCAGACCATAAAGAGATAGCTAGAGTTCCAGACCATAAAGAGATACCTACAGAGTACCAGACCATAAAGAGATAGCTACAGAGAACCAGACCATAAAGAGATAGCTACAGAGTTCCAGACCATAAAGAGATAGCTACAGAGTTCCAGACCATAAAGAGATACCTACAGAGTACCAGACCATAAAGAGACACCTACAGAGTACCAGACCATAAAGAGATAGCTAGAGTTCCAGACCATAAAGAGACACCTACAGAGTACCAGACCATAAAGAGATAGCTAGAGTTCCAGACCATAAAGAGATACCTACAGAGTACCAGACCATAAAGAGATAGCTACAGAGAACCAGACCATAAAGAGATAGCTACAGAGTTCCAGACCATAAAGAGATAGCTACAGAGTTCCAGACCATAAAGAGATATCTACAGAGTAACCAGACCATAAAGAGACACCTACAGAGTACCAGACCATAAAGAGATAGCTAGAGTTCCAGACCATAAAGAGATACCTACAGAGTACCAGACCATAAAGAGATAGCTACAGAGAACCAGACCATAAAGAGATAGCTACAGAGAACCAGACCATAAAGAGATAGCTACAGAGTTCCAGACCATAAAGAGATAGCTACAGAGAACCAGACCAGAGCATGTTTGCTTCCTAGCTCATCTACAGAAATGCTCATGTCCAGCATGTATAGTCTAGGTGATGGTAGATGGTTATCATCGGAAATCCCAGACCTAGGGCAACATTGGTACATTGTGGGAGGCCACCTGTCTGTCTAGGTCAGGGGTCTCCAACCTTTTCTTGCATGAGAGCTACTTTAAAAAAAAAAGATGTTGTGAGCTACTAGTTGTTTTTTTCTAGCTTTCAAATAGGCCCATTCTTCTCCGCTACCCTGCAACTCTTCTTTGGTGTACAAGTGATGTGTTTTCTGTCAATATAACTAGTAAAATAATGGTTATTAAACAACTAAAGGGGGTTTTCCTGAAGTCTGTTCTGTTTAATTTTTTTCCTGTTTTTTTTCTCCACAATATTACAATTATTCAGAGAAACAATGGAAATGGATGTTCTGAGACAATGTCAATGATTAAATCACATCAGAAGACAATTTTTTTTAGGTCTGGAATAAAAAGCGAACAAAAAATGATTTGAGTGTAATTTAATTGCACATCTAGCAAGAGAGGAACGTGTCAGTCTAGCGATGTATCTGCTCTTTAGGCCTGCTGCTGCAGAGTTAGCTAAACAATCTCCACCCAAATAATCCTGATATCGTTCTGTCAGGTAAACCTACTTTGCATTTAATTGAGAAGGTTTTTTTGGGGGGAAAGTCTTTCTGTCTACCCACAAGACGGTTATCATTAGCCTACTAGCATCGCTAACTGGCGACACACGGAGCGATAGACAAACGGGCGCACCACACAGACAGACAAGGGCAATATTGAAATTAAAATCGGCAGATATTGTGTTACATTTGGCTTTTTAAACCAATCGTGGCTAACTAGCGTTGGGATAATGTCAATGTGGCTTTGATTGGATAGAACCAGGAGCTTTATGTTAATGACGGTTTGCGATGGAACACATTTATAAAAATTGAATGTACTTCCAGAATTGATGGGCGAGCTACTCATAGGTGGGCTGCTAGCTACTGGAAGCTACTGGATCTACCTGTTGGAGACCCCTGGTCTAGAGAGACTAGTGGAGGGTGGAGAGGCGCCACCATGTGGTTAAATAATAATAGCATCTTTCATGAAATTAAAATCAGAAGATATCCCGGCGCCACTTACCTTCAGAGTTATGCAGCAGTCTGGCATCTTCTTCTCCAGGTACACTTCAATGATCAGGTCACCTGCTTGAGACAGCTGCACATACAGGATACTTATTACAGACAATCGTTTGTCCAACCAATGTGTTCTAACCCTTCATAAATCTTTATAAACGGTTTATATATCCTTCATAAAGTGTACCTGTGTGTCCTTCCAGGTGGTGATGAGGCTGAGCTCCAGTTCTATCTGGGTCTGTTGCTCCTCATCAATCTGAACAAACACAATCAAACATTTACTAATCATTCATTAGATTACAGAACATATTGACCTGGGCCATGTTCAGTAGGGCACACTGTAGCAAAACAGTTTGCAGTGAAATGTGAACATCTGTACTCTGATTGGACAAGTTCAGGTAGGTAGTACCTCCCCGTTTCAATCCATTCAGAATGCTTTCTACATATGGAACACAACCCTGATTTCTAAGTGATGCATTTGAGCTTTGACCCTCTCTGGTTCGACTATACTCACATCAAAGACATACAGGTAAATGTCTATGAGACCATACTCACATCAAAGACATACAGGTAAATGTCTATGAGACCATACTCACATCAAAGACATACAGGTAGTTGTCTATGAGGTCTTCAACGATCTTCACCTCGTGTTCTCCTTTCCCGTCTGTCTGGAAGAGGCTGGGGGCGAACAGCAGGGACAGGTTCTTGGTACACATCTGGTTCAGGTCTGCACACTTCTGAACCCTGGGACCGAGAGAGAGATAGAGAGAGAGAGAGAGAGAGAGAGAGAGAGAGAGAGACAGAGAGAAGAGAGAGAGAGAGAGAGACATATAGAGAGAGAGATACGAGATAGAGAGAGATAGAGATACAAGAGGATATAGAGCTATAGAGAGAGAGAGAGACTCCTCTCTTCTCTCTTCTTCTCTCGCTCTCTCTCTCTCCCATGCTCTCCTCTCACTCGTAGAGCGTCCTAGAGAGACATACAGAGCGACCAGAGAGATACAGAGGCTACAATATATGATCTCTCTCTCGATATATAGTACCAGAGATAGATATACAGAAGAGACAGAATATAATAGAGCACAAGATCACCATTGAATTTTTTTTACATTTTAGTCATTTACATGACGCTCTTATCCAGAGCGACTTACAGTTAGTGAGTACATACATTTTCATACTTTTATTCCATACTGGGCCCCCCCCGTGGGAATCGAACCCACACCCTGGCGTTGCAATGCCATGCTCTACCAACTGAGCTACACCTCTGAATAAGAGAGAGAGAGAGAACACTTCTGAACCCTGGGAGAGAGAGAGAGAGAGAAAGAGAGAGAGAGAACTTCTGAACCCTGGGGACCGAGAGAGAGAGAGAGAGAGAGAGAGAAGAAGTAATAGAGAGAGAGAGAGAGAGGGAGAGAAGAGGGAGAGATGAGAGAGAGAGAGAGGAGAGAGATAGAGAGAGAGAGAGAGAGAGAGCACAAACAGTTGCCAACTTGGCAGTGAGGTTGTCTAAGTATGATAAATTGGCAGTGAGGTTGTCTAAGTATGATAAATTGTACAGTTTAGGGTTGGGGTCAATTCTATTTGAATTCAGGAAGAAAATTTGAAATGGAATTGACCCCAACTCTGCTTAGTTGCCAGTGATGTTACCTAAACATTAAAAATGGTCCAGTTTGAGGGGCTACTGACCTATAGAGGTGGCTGATGAGAGCAGCCAGAGTCGTCCTGTTGACTCTGGGTAAACTACGGATGATCTCCTTGTATCTGTCCAGACGCTGGCTCTTATCCTTGGCTGTTCCTATAAAAAAGGGACAAACAGGAACCAGCTCGATTTCAAAAGGATACGTTATGGTACATCCTGACGGGCACCAGTGAAACAGCTTGGTGGAAGCCCTATAACTCTGAGGGGACCAAGAGGACTAGGTCGAGTGATTAAGTCAGAGACACAACTTCGAAAACACAACAAAACAGTAGCTTCATATGTATGCTGTCTGTGATGATAACACCGGTACTTACTGACAGCCTCCTTCCATAGTGGATGCAGGTCAGCCATGAAGATGGGGTCGTCTATCTCCCTGAAGAACCTCTTCAACACGTCGGTCACGTCCTCAATGAAGTTATCCCCGATCCGGAGCTTGACGTTCCGAGCATCGTTCCTGAACTCCTCCATCAGTAGCTTGATCCTGGACGTGGCTCCGTTCTTCCTGTAGATCCCCTCATGACCCAGACCTGGACGAGCAGATCACAGATCAGATCCTGTACATCAGTATTAAGCTAGTATTTCCTGTCTCTGTCTGTCATAAAGTACAGCTAAACTGGGAAAAGAAACACTACAGTGCACAGGCCACTGCAGAGTTATAATGAATTGATTAACTATTTATAAACCCCTTTATATACATTGGTATTGTATACCTTAATATAAAAAGGATTACTTCTACTGAAAATGCATCAAATGCTATGGATCCTATCATGGATCCACAAGATCACTGGAAAATGTGCCATTTTGTCGTTGATAACGCAGAATCCTCTATCCTTTGCTATAATGGAATGGAATGGAATATCCAGACTCCCCCCTCACCATATTGAGTGATGAAGGCGATGCAGCTGTCTACAATGATGGGGATGTCATTCCTGCTGAGCTGCTGTTCTCTCAGGGTGTTGCCCTTCCCTCCAGCAGCTCTCTGGATGTCTGCGTACCACAGGGAGAAGTCTAACCGACCCATCCCCTGGAGGTGCAGCGTCCTGGGGGGGGGAAGACATGTCGATACTCAGAGGTGAAGGTTCAGAGAAAATCACGACTGCAAACTCACTCGGAGTCCAGCTCCAAAAAACTAATTTACATGGTAAAATTATTTTTCATTCTGGAAATTCCATTCCCCACCAATTCCACCCTTAGCTGGGTATATTATAGGCGCCAAACTAGCCATGATATGTTGACATACTGTGTAATTAATATACAGTATGTACTGAATGAGAAAAGGAAGAGACTGAAAACCAACCTTCCTTTTTCAACCAAAACCAGAATTTCCTTCTTCTCATGGTTTTGGTTCTCAGTTACTATACCTAGGAGACAAACACAGAACAAATGGAAGACCGGACCAAATCATTCATCAGCAGACAGTTGCTCAAAGAAACGATGCTTGGGGTAGTTAAGGCCCAGAAATGTCCATGATCAAGCTGGCAGTAGGCTTTTTTCTTTATAGTCAGACGGGTTTTAAAATGACTATAGTACCCCACTTTGTTGACAGTTTATTACAATCCATAGTTAGGGCATAAAATGTCTCAATGAGGAGTTACCAAACGTTATTTGAGCAACCACATTACCACACAGTGCCCAGTAAAGCTAGGGTCAGGACAGGAGACTCACTGAGCTCTTGCAGACGTTTAAGGTTGATAATGTCCTCAGCTGCTCCATCGTTCCCAGGGCAGATGAAGAGGTTAGACTTCTGAAGGACAAAATATCCCTCTTTCCACTGAGAAGGGTCTCGCATGGCCTTGTAGCGCAGCACTCCCACCCGCTCAAACTCCCTCGCTAGCAGGCAGTGGCAGCTTAAAGGTGTGGCGGCCTGAGGAAGGGAACACAGGAAGTAGTTAAAGTACAGGAGGGAACACTGAACAGACACATACCAGGCTAGTACAGTCCATAGACTGTGTTAGTCAGAAAGGAGGAAACACTTCACTGTAACCCCCCCTTAAGTATGCATAGGACATTACAACGTTCAGAGCTGAAAGAGCTCTGACAATATCAGTAAAGCTGAACATTGGCATTATCAATGTGCAGGCATTGCACTCTTCTGGGATAGAAAGTAATCTCATACCTTTCCGATGGCCTTGGCCCAACATTGCAGTGCCTCAGGAGTTTCCAATCCAAACTGATAGAGCTTCTCCGAGGACAAGTACAGTTCAAACGTATAGAGAAACCTACAACGAGACACAGGAACAAAAGAGAAGGGCACTAGATCAACGCTAGTTGGTAGATACCTGTACATTGAGTGGCAGTGATATAACCATTTCATGCTAAACGTATCTTTTCCACGTGTTTGAAATAGACAGTGTGATTGACCACCTTCATTAGTTACTATGCCATGATTGGTCCTCTAACCTGTCAATGAAGCCGTTGTTGTTGCAGGAGTCCGGCCTGCTGACCCCCAGACAGAGGATGTCTTTGACGTTGATCTTCATGCTAGGATCAGGACATCGGTCAGACTCATAGAACAGAAGAGACCTCTCCACCGTGCACCAGTACTTCTGGAAATCTGGGGAGCAAATAACAGCAAAAGTATTGGCTGTTACTTTCTAAATAGTCTCGCGTTGCCACTTAAGAATCTCATTTATCCCTATTAGAGTGAACAAACGTGAAGAAGCCTGGAAATCGAGGTCCCTTTAAAAAAAAATTACATTTGGGATTTTTATGATGGGCTGCGTTTTTTTAATTTTATTATATATATATTTTTTTCACCTTTATTTAACCAGGTAAGCCAGTTGAGAACAAGTTCTCATTTACAACTGCAACCTGGCCAAGATAAAGCAAAGCAGTGCGATAAAAACAACAACAACACAGAGTTACATATGGGGTAAAACAAAACATAAAGTCAAAAATACAACAGAAAATACACTGCTCAAAAAAATTAAGGGAACACTAAAATAACACATCCTAGATCTGAATGAAATAATCTTATTAAATACTTTTTTCTTTACATAGTTGAATGTGCTGACAACAAAATCACACAAAAATTATCAATGGAAATCAAATTTGAGAGTCCTGTCTGGATTTGGAGTCACCCTCAAAATTAAAGTGGAAAACCACACTACAGGCTGATCCAACTTTGATGTAATGTCCTTAAAACAAGTCAAAATGAGGCTCAGTAGTGTGTGTGGCCTCCACGTGCCTGTATGACCTCCCTACAACGCCTGGGCATGTTCCTGATGAGGTGGCGGATGGTCTCCTGAGGGATCTCCTCCCAGACCTGGACTAAAGTATCCGCCAACTCCTGGACAGTCTGTGGTGCAACGTGGCGTTGGTGGATGGAGCGAGACATGATGTCCCAGATGTGCTCAATTGGATTCAGGTCTGGGGAACGGGCGGGCCAGTCCATAGCATCAATGCCTTGTTTTTGCAGGAACTGCTGACACACTCCAGCCACATGAGGTCTAGCATTGTCTTGCATTAGGAGGAACCCAGGGCCAACCGCACCAGCATATGGTCTCACAAGGGGTCTGAGGATCTCATCTCGGTACCTAATGGCAGTCAGGCTACCTCTGGCGAGCACATGGAGGGCTGTGCGGCCCCCCAAAGAAATGCCACCCCCACACCATGACTGACCCACCGCCAAACCGGTCATGCTGGAGGATGTTGCAGGCAGCAGAACGTTCTCCACGGCGTCTCCAGACTCTGTCACGTCTGTCACGTGCTCAGTGTGAACCTGCTTTCATCTGTGAAGAGCACAGGGCGCCAGTGGCGAATTTGCCAATCTTGGTGTTCTCTGGCAAATGCCAAACGTCCTGCACGGTGTTGGGCTGTAAGCACAACCCCCACCTGTGGACGTCGGGCCCTCATACCACCCTCATGGAGTCTGTTTCTGACCGTTTGAGCAGACACGTGCACATTTGTGGCCTGCTGGAGGTCATTTTGCAGGGCTCTGGAAGTGCTCCTCCTGCTCCTCCTTGCACAAAGGCGGAGGTAGCAGTCCTGCTGCTGGGTTGTTTCCCTCCTACGGCCTCCTCCACGTCTCCTGATGTACTGGCCTGTCTCCTGGTAGCGCCTCCTTGCTCTGGACACTACGCTGACAGACACAGCAAACCTTCTTGCCACAGCTCGCATTGATGTGCCATCCTGGATGAGCTGCACTACCTGATCCACTTGTGTGGGTTGTAGACTCCGTCTCATGCTACCACTAGAGTGAAAGCACCGCCAGCATTCAAAAGTGACCAAAACATCAGCCAGGAAGCATAGGAACTGAGAAGTGGTCTGTGGTCACCACCTGCAAAACCAGTCCTTTATTGGGGGGGTGTCTTGCTAATTGCCTATAATTTCCACCTGTTGTCTATTCCATTTGCACAACAGCATGTGAAATGTATTGTCAATCAGTGTTGCTTCCTAAGTGGACAGTTTGATTTCACAGAAGTGTGATTGACTTGGAGTTACATTGTGTTGTTTAAGTGTTCCCTTTATTTTTTTGAGCAGTGTATATATATAGTGTGTGCAAATGTAGCAAGTTATGGAGGTAAGGCAATAAATAGGCTATAGTGCAAAATAATTACAATTGGTATTAACACTGGAGTGATAGATGTGCAAGAGATGAGGTGCAAATAGAGATACTAGCCAGTGGGTTTGGCGACGAATTTGTAGTGAGGACCAGCCAACAAGAGCGTACAGGTCACAGTGGTGGGTAGTATATGGGGCTTTGGAGACAAAACGGATGGCACTGTGATTTTTAGAGAGAAAGAAACTACAAGTAACTAGGAGTAACTTCCAAATCACAACGCTCTGTTTTACTGTAGAGAAACTCCAGCCATGGACAGTGGGTAGTGTATTTCCTAACAGAGCAGTATTGGCCCAGTCAGTATTTGGTTTGTTCTCTTCAGGCCTTTATGCTGATGTTACTGAGGAGGCAGTATTCCTCTATTCAACCGCTGCCAAGTGGTGTGCTGTTAGCACCTGCCAACACACACACACACACACACACACACACCACACACACCACACACACCACACACACCACACACACCACACACACACCACACACACCACACACACCACACACACACACACACACACACACACACACACACACACACACACACACACACACACACACACACACACACACACACACACACACACACACACACACACACACACACACACACACACACCTTCTCGGGTTTTCCTTGATAATGTCCCTTTGTTCATTGAGGCTGACTTGTAGAGGTAGCCGGAATGAAGCACCGCCTGCATAATCTCATCATACACACTGGGGTCTGAGGAAACAGGGAGGAACATCAGAAAAAAATACATTAGGAAGATAGAGAAGTTTTAAGTCTAGCCATCACACTGTACACGTTGGGGTCTAGGCAAACAGGTCAAAACGTTAAAGTCAAACTTCATAAAAGAGTTTCATGAATAAGCCATAATAAATGCATTTACAAGATGATAAATTGTTCATAAATCATTAGGAATTTGATAAATGCTTATGAATTGGGGGGGGGGGGGGGGGGGGGGGGACATAAATGCAATTTCAGAATGTGGGGGGGACATGTCCCCCGTCACCGTCCCCAGTGAAAGTTGCGCCCCTGATGATAACTATCCAAAAGGTTATCTGGGTTCTCTATCAAACCATGACCCATGCTGTAATTACTTGAAAGCCTTTTCCAGAGGGCTGCTGAGCACATTACTTTACACTGCATGGTCGCACAAGTCACATAATGGATAAAAGGTCCAGCAGGAAAATAAAGCCTGTCCCCTGCCTTACCTGAGGTGCCCTGAGAGTGGGAGTATTCCTGAGACAGATGCTTGTCATAGCCATTAGAGTCAGCGAGGCGGGCTCGGACAGCCTCTGCCTCGGTGAAGATCTGGGTGACCGTCTTCAGCAGGTTCTGCTCGGTCACAGCAGTACACAGAACCTGCAGGGCAGAGATAGAGGGAGAGAGAGGGGGGGGACGCATTAGGGGACGCATTAGGCTGACGCACCACACACACAAACACACTGAGAGAGGACACACACACAGAGGACACACACACACACACACACACACACACACACAGCACGTACGCACCACTAAAATCATCCACAGCCACAGGGACAGACATTCAGCCCAAATTCCAAAAATTCCCCTCTCCATTCAACTAGCCCCCCCTTTTATCTACTCTCTCCAGTTGTTTTCATTTCAAAGCACATTCCATGTCATTATTGTTGGGATAAAAGTCTAGCTGCATGTTACCTACAGGCAGCTATAGCCCTAACTTGAACTCTAGTACAGATTACAGATACTAAAAACTACCACCGATACCATCTAGTCTAAATGAAAACCTTACAGAAAATTTTAAAAAACACACGATTTCACATGTGAAATTATGTGTTTCTTCTGTAAAAAGGCACACATTTAGACTACATGTGTTTGTTTTTTTGGAACACTTCACGTGTGATCACGTGAAATTCATGTGGTTTTTCCCGTAAGGGTAGTGTGTAACCATGTGTTTTTACTGAGAGGCACAGCAGCCGTCAAGGCTGTCAACACAGATACAGTCATTTAGTTATTATTTCATAACAAACTAGAAATGTTCTCCATTCGTACACAATAAGGGTTTATGATAATACAGCCTTTACAACACACCACACATGTCCTTTGGATCCTCTTATAGCAGCTTTACATTTGAAAATCTATACTATTTGTGTCACTGTACCTTGAGCAGCTCCTCCTGTGTGTTGAAGTTGGGGTGGGGGTGTCGGTAGCGCCCCTCACGGTACTTGTGGATGATAAACTCCCTCCGCTGGTCTGGTGTGGCGTCACGGTCTAACTCGTCGGCCGGAGATAGCCTGGCCGCCCAGAACTCGTTGGCTCGGTCGTTCCCCAACATTATGAAGAGCTGGCGAACACAAACACAGAACAGTTCCCACAAAACCACAGAATAATGTGAACCCATGTGGGCCTTACTATAGTCACAGTCTATCATCTGATTTTCAACTTAAAATGTACAAAACATATTTAAACTCTGTTCCAATATTATGGATTTGTTGGAGGTGAAAATGGTCCTTGATACACAACAAAACAAACGAATTTCAGTATCCTGGAAAATATTTTGCCACTTAACTAAAATAAACGTGAGCATTTTCCCCTGACTCTCTCCATCCCCCTTCCCTGAAGAACACTTCTCTTTCCTCTCACCTGCACGATCTCATTGCTCCACACGCTGGTGTCCAGTTTCAGGCTCTGTACTTTAGACACCATAGTCCCCAGACCTCTGTGTTGACCTGCAGGGGAAAAGGGACAAAAGACCACGACAATCACTCTACTGCCACCAGACAGTGGTATTGTGTTGGCAACAGGATACTCAGGCACAAGAGAGGGGAAATGATGTGTGTATTTGGAAACATTTCCAGAGCCGCTTCACCTGGCACAGATGTGCTGAAAACAACACAGGTGAGAATTAAACTGTTGTGTCTCATGTCAATGACCCGATAACTAAGCCACCTGGCCAACAGCTGCCAGTGCCATCCTATCAAATCACACTCACCAGACGGGACGCTAAGTCCACCAGAACTAGCTAGGCCATCTGGCGTCAAAACTGAAACCACGCTCTTTTAGGCAGGGGGCAACAGAGCTAGGGAGGGGGGGGGGAGCCCGCCCCACCTATACAATAGTAGGGGAAACACTGTCTCACCTGCACAGTTCTTACAGATGACAACACAGAGGTTTATGGAGGCCCAGTCAGGGTTGACGGCTTTGCAGTCAGCACAGATCTTATTAAACCTGTTGGACCAGATCTTCTCAGCCACCTCGTAGTCGGACAGGGTCTCTGCTATGGACTCCTGTACAGCCTCCATCCAGTCCCTCTTCTCCCGCTCAGACTCAGCCGTGAAACTACAGGGACAATCAAATCACTCAATCAATCAAAACACAATTGTCTCCGTTTTCAGGGGATTCAAAAACAACGGTGTACATGGAAGTTCATGACGAACAGACTTTGTTGTTGCCAAAACTAGAGAAACGTATAAAAAATGTTATTACCATGTCAGTAGACACGCACCTGAATGTTTTGTAAGGGGTGATGAGGTCAAAGCTTTTTCCTTTGCCGTCTCTGATCGTAGCCCCTCGGGCCTCTATCAACGTGATTCCTATCCCATTCCGAAAACACTGTTCGCTCTTGTACAGCCAGACCTGTTCTGTATTGATGGCGACGTAAACTTTTGACTTGGTCCCTTTGAGCTCCAGAGGACCACTCTTCTGACAGTGGCTGCCGGGACCGAAGCGAGGACGCCCAAACACAAGCTGTTCCTTCACCCTCCCCTGTAGGGTGCTGCACCACTGATGTCTCTGCACTGAGAGGGGGGCAGGTAGAAAGACGATGGTTGGTATTACCAGGTATTTACTATGAAAGTTTCATGGTAAAATGGTAATTACACAATAACAATATGTGAATTTATTGTTTGTGTCGTTTGGATTCAAACCAAGCACCCTTTTGTACCAGTCAGTTACCAATTGTACCAGAAACTATCTTTTGATACCAAATCATTTCCTAATAGGTAAAAACCAGAGGAATCAGTAGCCTAAAATAAAAGTCCTAAACAAGATGCTTCCACTATGAGATTATGACAGTAACTGATACTACCTTGTCTCGCAGAGGCTATTTTGCAAGATTGGGTCATTTGAGTCTCCAGAGAGAAAATAAGGTTATTGGGTCAACATTGGTCCAACATAGAGGTTGTCACATGGTTGGTTTCTGCTTGTATGCCCTGAGGATTCCTCTATAGCTGGGTCCCAATCATCCACCTTTCTCCTCAAGTATACACTTGCACACTTGGATTTAACAACACATAACCAAAGCTTTAAAATCCACGATGGGGAATTGGGACAACTGGATGTCTGTCGTTGCTTTGTGAGATTTTAATTGCTGTTTTTTTAAATACTTAGTTTACCTTCGTTATCAGCCCGGAAGACAAACGTCCTGTGACTTGTCACTATCTCAAATTTATTGTCTTTGGCCATGCGGGCCATCTGTATTGCAGCCAGAGGAACCACTCCTTTGGGGTACGGGTCCTTGGAGAGAATGGTAAAAGAGACATATTGTAATGAACAATCCTGGTGTTCTCTCAATCAAAATCTAATACAGTCCATCATTCAGGGAAAAAAAGGGCCTACCTTTTCACTGCCGAAGTACATCAGATTTTTGCCATCAAACTTCACATAGCGTTTCTGGAATACATAGTTCCTAGAAAGCCAAATACAAAAATGATCAGATTCTCATACCACTGACTTAAAATGGAAAAAATAAATCAGTACCATTTCAAGGGCAAAGCAGAGCCCCATTTCGAGCGATATTAACTGTTTAGCATTTAACAAGAAACACAAAAACAGATTGGAGATGAAGAAGCGAGACACACCGGTTTGAGAGGACAGAGACAGTGCTTTCAGAAAGTACTCCTACCCCTGAGTCAATACTTTGTAGAAGCACCTTTGGCAGCGATTAAAGCTGTGAGTCTTGGTAAGTCTCGAAGAGCTTTGCACACCTGGATTGTGCAACATTTGCACATTATTATTTTTTAATTCTTCAAGCTCTGTCAGGTTGGTTGTTGATCATTGCTAGGCAGCCATTTTGCAAGTCTTGCCACAGATCTCCAAGCCGATTTAAGTCAAAACTGTAACTAGGCTACTCGGGAACATTCAATGTCGTCTTGGTAACCAACTCCAGAGTATATTTGGCCTTGTGTTTTAGGTTATTGTCCTGCTGAAAAATGAATTTGTCTCGCAGTGTCTGTTGGAAAGCAGACTGAACCAGGTTTTCCTCTAGGATTTTGCCTGTGCTTAGCTCTATTCAGTTTCTTTTTACCCCCCCCAAAAAAACTCCCTAGTCCATGCCTATTTCAAACATACCCATAACATGATGCAGACACCACTATGCTTGAAAATATGAAGAGTGGTACTCAGTTGTTTGTGTTGGATTTGCCCCAAACATAACGCTTTTTTATTCAGGACATAAAGTTCATTTCTTTGCCACATTTCTACTTGAGTGTTTTATTGCAAACAGGATGCATGTTTTGGAATCGTTTTTATTCTGTACAGGATTCCTTCCTTTCACTCTGTCAATTAGGTTAGTACTGCGGAGTAACTACAATATTGTTGATCTATCCTCATTTTTTTCCTTCCACACCCAATAATCTAACTGTTTTAAAGTCACCATTGGCCTCATGGTGAAATCCCTGAGCGGTTTCCTTCCTCTCTGGTAACTTAGTTACGAAGGACGCCTGTATCTTTGTAGTGACTGGGTGTATTGATACACCATCCAAAGTGTAATTAATAACTTCACCATGCTCAAAGGGATATTCAATGTTTGCTTTTTTATTTTGACCAATAGGTGCCTTGTTGCAAACAGGATGCATGTTTTGGAATATTTATATTCTGTACAGGCTTCCTTCTTTTCACTCTGTCAATTAGGTTAGTATTGGGGAGTAACTACTATGTGGTTGATCCATCCTCAGTGTTCTCCTATCACAGCCATTAAACTCTGTAACTGTTTTAAATTGGCCTCATGGTGAAATCCCTGAGCGGTTTCATTCCTCTACGGCAACTGAGTTAGGAAGGACGCCTGAATCTTTGTAGTGACTGGGTGTATTGATACACCATCCAAAGTGTAATTAATAACTTCACCATGCCCAAAGGGATATTCAATGTCTGCTTTTTTAAATGTTTTACCCATTTACCAATAGGTGCCCTTCTTTGCGAGGCATTGGAAAACCTCCCTGGCCTTTGTAGTTGAATTGGTGTTTGAAATTCACAATTCAACTGAGGGACCTTACAGATAATTGTATGTGTGGGGTACAGAGATGAGGTAGTCATTCAAAAAGCATGGTAAACACTATTATTGCACACAGAGTGAGTCCTTGCAACTTATGTGAATTGTTGTGCAAATGTTGAATCCTGAACTTACAGTGCCTTACAAAAGTATTCATCCCCCTTGGCGTTTTTCCTATTTTGTTGCATTACAACCTGTAATTTAAATCGATTTTTTATTTGGATTTCATGTAATGGACATACACAAAATAGTCCAAATTGGTGAAGTGAAAAAAAACATTCTCAAAAATAAATAACGGAAAAGTGGTGCGTGCATACGTATTCACCCCCTTTGCTATGAAGTCCCTAAATACGATCTGGTGCAACCAATTACCTTCAGAAGTCGCATAATTAGTTAAATAAAGTCCACCTGTGTGCAATCTAAGTGTCACATGATCTGTCACATGATCTCAGTATATATACACCTGTTCTGAAAGGCCCCAGAGTCTGCAACACAACTAAGCAAGGGGCACCACCAAGCAAGCGGCACCATGAAGACCAAGGAGCTCTCCAAACAGGTCAGGGACAAAGTTGTGGAGAAGCACAGATCAGGGTTATAAAAAAACATCTGAAACTTTGAACATCCCACGGAACACCATTAAATCCACAACAAACCTGCCAAGAGAGGGCTGCCCACCAAAACTCACGGACCAGGAAAGGAGGGCATTAATCAGAGGCAAGAAAGAGACCAAAGATAACCCTGAAGGAGCTGCAAAACTCCACAGCGGAGATTGGAGTATCTGTCCATAGGACCACTTTAAGCCATACACTCCACAGAGCTGGGCTTTACGGAAGAGTGGTCAGAAAAAAGCCATTGCTTAAAGAAAAAATAAGCAAACATGTTTGGTGTTCGCCAAAAGGCATGTGGGAGACTCCCCAAACATATGGAAGAAATTACTCTGGTCAGATGAGACTAAATTTGAGCTTTTTGGCTATCAAGGAAAACGCTATGTTTGGCGCAAACCCAACACCTCTCATCACCCCGAGAACACCATCCCCACAGTGAAACATGGTGGTGGCAGCATCATGCAGTGGGGATGTTTTTCATCGGCAGGGACTGGGAAACTGGTCAGAATTGAAGGAATGATGAATGGCGCTAAAAACAGGGAAACTCGAGGGAAACCTGTTTCAGTCTTCCAGAGATTTGAGACTGGGACGGAGGTTCACCTTCCAGCAGGACAATGACCCTAAGCATACTGCTAAAGCAACACTTGAGTGGTTTAAGGGGAAACATTTAAATGTATTGGAATGGCCTAGTCAAATCCCAGACATCAATCCAATTGAGAATCTGTGATATGACTTAGAAAGATTGCTGTACACCAGCGGAACCCATCCAACTTGAAGGAGCTGGAGCAGTTTTGCCTTGAAGAATGGGCAAAAATCCCAGTGGCTAGATGTGCCAAGCTTATAGAGACATACCCCAAGAGACTTGCAGCTGTAATTGCTGCAAAAGGTGGCTCTACAAAGTATTGACTTTGGGGGGGGGGGGGGGGGGGGGGGGGGGGGGGGGGGGGTAGGGGGTGAATAGTTATGCACGCTCATGTTCTGTTTTTTTGTCTTATTTCTTGTTTGTTTCACAATCAATTTTATTTTACATCTTCAAAGTGGTAGGCATGTTGTGTAAATGAAATTATACAAACCCCCCAAAAATCCATTTTAATTCCAGGTTGTAAGGCAACAAAATAGGAAAAATGCCAAGGGGGGGTGAATACTTTCGCAAGCCACTGTATTTAGGCTTTGTCACGCCCTGGCTCTGGGGACACTGTTATGTTGAGCCAGGGTGTGTAGATCTATGGGTTTTGTTTCTATGGGTGTTTATTTCTATGTTGGCCAGAGAGACTCCCAATCAGAGGCAACGAGTGTCAGCTGTCGTGGGTTGTCTCTGATTGGGAGCCATATTTAAACTGTCTGTTTTTCATTCGGGTTTGTGGGATTTTGTTCTATTTTGGTTTGTGTAAAACCGTAGACATCACGTTATCGTCTATTGTTTTGATCGTGTGATCATTCCAATTTAATAAATATGTTCGCTTTCAACGCTGCGCCTTGGTCCTCCTCATTGGTAGACGATCGTGACAGGCTTGCCATAACAAAGGGGTTGAATACTTATTGACTCAAGACATTTCAGCTTTTCATTTTTAATTAACTAGTAAACATTTCTAAAAACATAATTCCACTTTGACATTATGAGGTACTGTGTGTAGGCCAGTGACAAAAAATCTCAATTTAATCTATTTTTAAATTCAGGCTGTAACACAACAAAATGTGGAAAAAGTAAAGGCGTGATTTTCCCACTAAACTGCGCGAGTGTGCGAGCGTGCAGCACCCTGGGACTGCTGCGCAGAAGAAATATCAGCGCGTGCAGAGAATCAAGAGATTGCACTACACTCAACTTTCTTGAGTTTTCCCCCTGTTAGTTAACACTATCAACGTTTCCCTTTACTGTTGAAATTGTGATCGAATCAATGCAATATCAGCCATGTTCAATGTAATATACCGACACAAAACAAACTATGCAAGACTTAATATGCAAAACTAACTGTGCAAGAGATTTTCTTGTAGGCAGAACGCATTGGAGTAGGATTCTTTTGCATTGACAGGCATGACCCAGGCCCGTAATCTACACAGACCGGTGCGCCATAACCAAATCAGAGCTGCGGTAGGCCTATATGCAAATAGCCATTGCCACATATGGATCTGTGCCATTCACTTTGAACTGGACTGTTTTTACAGCATGAGCGGTCGTGATTAGAAGCGCTTGTTTTGAGATCAAAACGAGAGCTACATGTAGCGACGTGTGCACATTTGTACATATCCTTCGCTAATTAATCAGTTATAGATCATTTGTAGTCAGTAATGGGGGAGTGATTGCTTCCTACAAGTGCACAAACCGTGTGCTTTTCTAGACATCTTTGAAAAGAGAGTCAGGTAAAGGTTTTTTGTCTTAAAAGGGGTAGTGTTGTATTTTGAGACAGGCTTGAATAAATTAAGTAGCCAATAGGCAGAGGGTAGTATAATCTGTCTGATTCTCTGTAATAATGGTATGGGAATAATAATGAATTGTATTTTGTAAAGTGGTTTCTTGCATCAAACATAGTATTTTCAGTCACCTCCTTGTCTGAAGGACAAGTGGATGAACAGGTTAATGTCAAGCCCTGCATGTTATTTATTTTCAAAAGTCTCATGGAATGTAGGCCTACATTGAACACCACACATTGGCTGCTACTGTAGGCTGAATGATAGAACAGCTATTTCCGTGTTAAAATGTTATGGGATGCATTCTCTCCATTGTTTTTGATGGTAGGCCACTCTGGTAGGCCTACATTATGATCAATAAAACACTGTAAACGCGTGCCGGAAGTTGCACAGCATTTTCATAACAAATCGAGTTTGCGCTCAGCAGACCAGAAATGTGCTCAGGTGTGAGTGCTTTCTGAAGGCAGTGCATATGACATTTTTTAAAAACATTTAGCAAGAAACACGAAAACAGATTGGAGAAACACAGTGGGGGAAAAGAAGAAGAAGCGAGAGACACACCGGTTTGAGAGGACAGAGACGAGGCAGAGACAGTTCCTCAGAAGGGAGGAGAAGACGGAGGGAGGAAAGGAGGAAAGGACCGTCAGCCCAGACCAGGACCAGGACCCGGACCAGGACCCGGACCCGGACCCGGCATACCCTTGTGGTGAAAGCTTATCCAGCCAGCCACAGATGATGGGAGCAGTCGGCTCAGAGAGAGAGGTGTAGCTGGCGTAGGGGGATATCGTCTGGTCCTCATCCGGCTCCGAGGGGTACAGGTTGGGGGGTAAGGAGAGGCAGCGAGGGGGTGGTGCTGCCTCTCCTACTGTGCTGTAGCCCTGGGACTCACTGTGGAGGGCCTGGGACAGACGTTTGGCCCAGGAGAGTTTAGGTGTCCTGCAGTGCAAAGACAGTCTCTGTAACTGATTGATGCATTTGTAATAACCTTGACTCCAGCCTCTTTAGGTTTCTCTAGAGTGAGAATACGGCGTCTGGTAGCAGGTAACAACATTGGATTGAAAAGATGGAGAGAAAATAATATTTTAAATACAGTAGACTATTTTCTCTCTGTGGCTGTAGTCAGAGTTGTGTAAGAAGATGTTATGTTTCATTGGAACGCCAGTCTCATTATCCACTCCTCTAGACACAATAATTTACCCATGATCCTCTCCGTGCTTCTCTTCCTCCTTTCTTGTCTTTCCTTCACTTTTGGTCCTTTCCACCTTTGAGAACACAACATGGAGAACACGTTCATCAATGTCAGGAGAACCAAAGTGACCACAAACACTAAACACAATATAACTCTGATGGGTTCTTGTAACCTGATAACAGACTCGGGCGCTGTCCCAAATGACACCCTATTCCCTATATAGTGCACTACTTTTTGACTAGGGCCCATAGTGCCATTTCAGACACCATTTGATGTTTTTCCTGGAAAGCCTATAGGGCTCTGGTCAAAAATAGTGCACTATAGGGAGAATAGGGTGTCATTTGGGACGCATCCTCAGCCTCCCAGTCTCACCTCAGAGTGGTGCAGTGGTCGTCTGCTCTGGAAGACTGTTTCACAGTATGGACTGATCTCCTCCTCCGGCTCCTCCATGGGGACTGTTGGTGCAGGAAGAAATGACATAGCATATTATAAGCCTTGTTATAAGATATTATAATAAAGGTTCATACATGCTCGTAACCAGTGTAGAAAGCCCGTACAGTCCCTCTCCCTGAATACTAACTCACAGCCCTCTCTAACTCTTGAAACAAGTAGCCAACCTTCCCCCGTCTCTGCCTGACTCCCTGACCCTGCAGAGCAAAGGCGGGGGATAGATCCCCATTGTTTACAGGCTACTCTGTTCGCACCTCTGGAGCTCTCCAGTTACATGCCACACCCAGTGACCTCTGATTGGGACATTTGACCGCCCATCACCACCTTTGACCCTGCCGACCTGCATCTCCTCAGGGCATCTGTCCAATAGGCAGGTGGGACCGGGACAAGTACAAAAGCACAGTCCAGCCAAGTCCGGGCTCAGACTTCAGCAAGCAGTGGCCGAGCAAGGAGCATAAATCTCTGCCACGCACGTCAACAGCTGGGCCACAACCCATGGACCATTTCCCCTGCAAGCCCTAGACTCTCCCAACACACGCTACAAACCACTAACACTACAACACTTCCACCTAGTCCACATCCTGTTTGCTGTGTGGTAATAAAGTGTGAGTCTCTCCTACTGGTCATTTCGGTCCTCTTACCAGGACGCCCTAACCCTAACCAGTCTAAACCAGCACCTCTATTGGAGATAGAGACATATAGAGATAGAGAGAGGGGCGGCAGGTAGCTTAGTGGTTAAGAGCGTTGTGCCAGTAACCGAAAGGTCGCTGGTTCTAATCCCCGAGCCAACTAGGTGAAAAATCTGTCGATGTGTCCTTGAGCAAGGCACTTAACCCTAATTGCTCCTGTAAGTCGCTCTGGATAAGAGAGTCTGCTAAATGACTAAAATGTAAATGTAATAGAAGATAGATAGATAGATAGATAGATAGATAGATAGATAGATAGATAGATAGATAGATAGATAGATAGATAGATAGATAGATAGATAGATAGATAGAGAGATAGAGAGATTGCATGGTGGTGCTCTTTTTCAACCAGTTATAAAAGCATTTCGACTGGATGCTAAAGTGTAAGCGAAAAGTAAGGTTTTAGCGATGCGTAGTGTTAACTATATCTTGAATGACATTGATTTAAAAACAGGTCAAGGGTCATTTATAGGCCTAAAGGATACACAGTTATAAGGTCTGACTAAACCATCTGTTGGGTTACTTTCAGAAAGAGATGGGTAAACTTACCTCCATGGGATGATTCAGAAGAGTTGTTACTTAAAGTGCTGCAGACACATCAAACAAAACATTAGTTAGACAAAGAAATGACTCTCTTTTCGATGTCTAGGGCTATATTTCTACTTTATTAGGTAGAGTATATGATGTTAAAGTCAGACGTTGACCTACCTATTTCTGTCAGGAGTGGTATGGATCTCCTGACGTGGTGGTGTTTGAGGATTGTTGCAGGGAATCCGTCCACTACTAGCTCCAGTGCCAGGTAAAGCGCCACAGTAGATCTCATTGGAGACCATCTCCATCGGGGATCCGGGTGGGGAAGTGGTCACGGAGGGGAATCCAGCGTTGTCATAGGAGGATGAGGAGGATGGAGGTGGGGTAGTCATACACTGGTCCTGGTTTTGTTCAGTCCTTCCACCAGATGATGGCGGAGTGGGTGTAGGACCCCTAAACATGGCTGGAGGGATACCTCGGTTCAGCCGAGGGGGAACAGGGGGCAGGGGACCTCCAGAGTCTGAGGAGTTACTCAGCCTCCTCTCTCTCAGGCTTAGGCTGTGTCTCATGGTAGGGGTAGGGGTAAGCCCCACCACCACTGTGTCAGTGTTAAATTCTCCTGAAGCCAAACCTTCCAATATGGTGAAGCAGAGAGATTCCTGAGATGGTTTCCTGGTTAGGGTTAGAACCTGGGGATCTGGTGGTGTTGGTTGTATGGGACAGGAGATAAATCGGGCGGGTTCTGATTTGTGTCTGTAGAACACCGTTCTAGGTTTTGGAACCGGTTTTATGACAACATTCCCATTGTACTGCTGCTGCTGTTCTGACCCGGAGTTCATCAACATGGATGGAATGTTTGGAACAGAACTATTCCGGAACGCTTCAAACGGAATGGCCCCGGTTCCGCTCTGGTCAGACCTCGGCACTCCTGATTGGATGGGTGTGGAATTAACGTCAGACTCAGACTGCCAACGATCCAATAAGGGCTCTAAGGGCCTCGATGTCGACTCCTTCTGATTGGTGGCCCTCTGAATGTGCTGGACCAGCCTCAGTATTCTCTTCCTGTGCCCGGTGGCAGTTATGCCCAGCTGGATAAGACCTCCATTGTCTAGGTGGCTGAGGTCCCTCGCCAAGAGGAAGCCTGACTGGCGGAAGGTCTTCAGGTATCGCTCCAGGTGGATCGCAGCCAACAGGGTCTCAACGTCCGTGTTTCCATCTATTGTTGCCATAACAACGTACATACACGGGCTTGGAGGGGGCCTTCAGCTGCTGTGGGCAAGACGACGGCCATCACGGACCTACACAGGGAGACACAAGAGACTCCTCTCCATCTGAAATGAAAAAAATTATTAAGAGCTAGATAATAATATAATTGATTCATGTTGAGCTAGTCTTCCATCTGGTCAATTGGTCTGATAAGAGAACTAATTTACTGCATTCCCTTACTAAGAATCAAATGAAAGGGTATGAAAAATGTACGCTACTCACTAACTAAGTCGCTCTGGATAAGAGCGTCTGCTAAATGAATAAAAATGTAAAAATGTAAATGTATTCGTCACGTGCACAGGATATAGTGTGTGTAAACGGTACAGTGGAATGCTTACAGAGTAACACTGGAAACACTAAACACGTAACAAGCAGAGTAACACTAAGTAACACTGGAAACACTGGAAACACTAAACACGTAACAAGCAGAGTAACACTAAGTAACACTGGAAACACTGGAAACACTAAACACGTAACAAGCAGAGTAACACTAAGTAACACTAAACACGTAACAAGCAGAGTAACACTAAGTAACACTGGAAACACTAAACACGTAACAAGCAGAGTAACACTAAGTAACACTGGAAACACTAAACACGTAACAAGCAGAGTAACACTGGAAACATGTAATAAACATGTAAACATTACATGTAACTGAACTGCTATTAATACCATGTTAACTTCCAGCAGTGTGTGTATACGAGTGTATGTGGCTATCTTGATCACATTTGAGCTGGTTCATTGACTCATTTATGACCACTTGGTATGCAGAACCCAACCCACGCCCACTAATGGCTGGCTGGAAGGGGTTAATAAAACACTTTTCATGAAACAGAGCTGTTTCTACTGGACTGAAATGGCAGGACCACTGAAATTGACTGAAATGGCATCACCATGACCTTTCCATAGCAGGTCGCCAGCCATTTTCCAGCCAGCCCCTTTAAAAATCACAGATGTGGAACAAAGACTGATGTCATTGAACACACAAAGACACTAGATTGTTCAGTTTTAGAAGGGCCTGTAAAGTTACCATGTCCATGTACAAGCAGACCAGTGAAGGGAGAAGCATCTAAGAGGTTAATTGAGAGAACACGGAGACATGAGAGAAATCGAATAAGGTAACAAATGCGAAAAACTGAATTCTGAATTTTATTCAAAAGGTGTGTACCATTTTAGTTGACGACAAAAGGCACCATTTCAAGTTTGTTCTTATTCAACATGAATTCTATAATAATGCAATAATATGTTATACAAAGGAATGGAGAAATAGAGAGAGAGTGTCCAGGGATACAACAGCCTGCAGCTAGGGAGGGGTATATCAGGGTTGGGGGCACGGCTCTTTGAAAGCCTCGCTAGAAACACTTCCTGAAAAAGCTTGGAATGCGTTAAGTTTTAATGGCTACTTTTCCCTGGCTGGTGTGTGTGTGTGTGTGTGTGTGTGTGTGTGTGTGTGTGTGTTAGACCTGGGTTCAAATACTATTTGAAAACCTTCAAATACTTCAAGTATTTGCTCTAGCCTGCCTGGAGTGCCAGATGGGTGGGGTTTGCAGTTATGGGACTATTCTATTGGGTTATTAAAGCTCAACATGCTCAATCAAGCACAGATAAAGTAATTCAAAAATTAGTATTTGAACCCAGGTTTGGAGTTGGTGTCCCTGTTGGTGATTCAGCTTGAGAACCCAGTCAAAACTGAAGAGAATCTGAAGGCTGACTGGGGCAGTCGGCCAGCCTCGTGAGGGGGAGGCACACAGCGCAACACATCACACACACGTTCTAATAGAGTTTAGGATAGAAAATAGTATTTTGAGGCCTTGGACCGATTATGACCGATTCTTATTAAAATGGTTTATGGGCACCAGATCAGAATGTAAAGTCTTACAATGGAGCTACAGATGGCTGTAGGAACTATCTTTGAACTAAAGTCTAGTGCTACTTTGACAAGTAGAGTACAGTCCGATGGCAGCTATCCTCGTATCCTTTACACGCTACTGAGCCAAGCCGTGCCAAGCCGAGCTGTACTGGGCTGGCCTTGTTATGCATCCAGTCAGGTTTGAGTCGGCACAATAGTGTGAAAAGGGAAGGAGAACTAGTCCTCAGCCTGTAGGAAGGCAGCAGGCAGCAGGGGAATGGGAGGCAAGCTGCTGAAAGGGGTCTATGAGTCACATCCTCCTCTTCCTCTGTCTCCACTCTGTAGGTTAACCTCCAGCCCACTGATACACACAGAGAAACACAGGGCTCCAGTTGTGTGCTGAGAGCAGACCTGGGTTAAAATACTATTTGAAATCTTTTTAAATACTTTGAGCATTTTCTCTAGCCTGCTTCGAGAACCAGATGGACAGAGTTTCTCTTGGTCCATTTAGCCAGTCAATCTCAATCAAGTACAGATGAAGTATTTGAAAGATTCCAAATAGTATTTGAACCCAGGTCTGGTGCTGAGAGCAGAGAGGCAGGAAGCCTATGAAGTGGACTGATAAAGTATGAGCTGAAGAAGGCTGGGGGAGGCTGCAGGATAGGATGGGAGGGAGGGAGGGAAAGAGAGAGGGAGTGAGAGAGGGAGGGAAAGAGAGAGAGAGAGAGAGGAGGGAAAAGAGGATAGAGAGGGAGGTAAAGGAGAGAAGAGAGAGGGAGGGAAAGAGAGAGAGATAGAGAGAGAGAGAGAGAGGAGAGAGAGCAGCTCTCTCTCTCCTCTCTCGTCTCTCTCTCTTCCTGAGCGAGAGAGAGAGATACCCCGAGAGAGAGAGAGAATATTGTCCCTCCCATCCCACTTCCCACTGCAGAAGGCATTGTGATGAACACCTGGCTGGGATGGAACCGCAACATGGCAGCTGTTATAGAACTGAAGTGGGAAACCTGACAGCATTATTAACATACAGTAGATTTATCTGTCCATTTGACCAGATTACAAGGATGCAAATTAACTACTGTGCCACATTAAACTACCAACAAAAAGGATGTGTGACATACTAACGTAACACCCAGAAAAACACTTCTGTTTTGGTTGCTGAATGCAAGTCATAATAGAGGGAGAGATGTTGTTCTTCAGAGATGAGCAATGAAGTGAGCAAATGATTGTGTGTGTGTTCTCCTCCCTCTACACAAGGCAAAATGGGGGATTTTGTGGGGGAAACACATCCTACAGAACACTACACAACAGTTTTGTCTTGTCTTCCTCAGTGTTTGTGTAACTTCCTACCAGTGTTGGGGAAGCTTGTCTTAAAATATAGTTTACCAAGCTACCAATTACTTCACACTGGAAAACATAACTACAAGTCTCTTTGAAAAGTCGTTTCACTACATCCAACATATCTTCATGATAAATTATCATATTATATCTGACTGTCCTAGACTACAAATTGGAAAGAACAGATCACTCTGGAGTCAGATGTTAACAACCATGTGTAATTTGGCCATACTTAACAGAAAGACTATGTTTTTAAAGTGAATGAAGCAGGTCTGATGCTGGACAAAAGAAAGGAGATAGTTGCCTACTTCACCCATGGTTTTCTTGTATTTGCTAAAGAGTAGGTGTAGTTCCAGGAGTTAACTACACCACACATGGCAACTTATTAACTACTAAACAATACGATGATGTATCAACTGACACATACTACAATAAATCTATACATTGAACTACATGTGTTCTTACTTCTAACACATGCTTCCTTCCTCTCCATCAAGGCCAAATACCTGAGGGTTTTGTCTTAAAATATAGTTTACCAAGCTACCAATTACTTCACACTGGAGAAACATAACTAAAGTTACTTTGAAAAGTCGTTCACTACATCCAAACTACTTCATGATAAATTATCATATCTATATCTGAACTGTCATAGACTACAAATTGGAAAGAACAGATCACTCTGGAGTCAGATGTTAACAACATGTGTAATTTGGCATATTAAACAGAAAGACTATGTTTTAAGTGAGAATGAAGCAGGTCTGATGCTGAAAAAGAAAGGAGATAGTTGCCTACTTCACCCATGTTTTCTTGTATTTTTGCTAAAAGAGTAGTGTGTAGTTCCAGGAGTTAACTACACCACTACATGGTAACAACTTAATTAACTACTCAAAACAATACCTAGATTTGAATGTAGTTCAACTACCACCAAACTACTACAAAATAAATCTTTAATTACTAGTTGAACTACATGTAGTTCGTTACTTCCTAACACTGCTTCCTAGTCCTCTCCATGCAAGGCCAAAGGGGTGATGGCCCGGGGGGAGGGTTGTAGAATTAGATGAAACCACTGGACATTCTCAGACTGGCCTTCTTCAGCGGGAGAGGAGAGATCTGAAGTGATCACTGAGATTAACAGAGGAGGAGAGATCTGAAGTGATCAATGAGATTATGAAGGATCACCATGAGCAGTGACTCCAAAAGCCTGATTTAGCATTTTGTTCAATCACTAGATGTTTTTCATAGGGAGTGTTTACAGTGACTACGCAGTTTCAAATAACATGTGGCGTATACTGTAGGTCCTGTTTCGCCTGCAACAAACAAACAAATCAGGCCTTTGCTTTATCTCGCTCTCTCTCCTCTTCTCCCCTGCCCACATTCTCTTTATCTGGGCTAGAGATCTGGGCTCTGTCAGAGCTACAGAAAACACAGGATACAGCTGTCCCTTAAACACTGGAGGGGAAAAAAAGAGACCCCACTCCCTCCTCTCCCACTTCTCTCCCACCATGACCCCCTCTTCCCCTCCTTCCTCTCCCACCCTGACCCCCTCTTCCCCTCCCTCCTCTCCCACCCTGACCCCCTCTTCCCCTCCTTCCTCTCCCACCCTGACCCCCTCTTCCCCTCCTTCCTCTCCCACCCTGACCCCCTCTTCCCCTCCCTCCTCTCCCACCCTGACCCCCTCCGCCCCACTCCCACCACCCCCTTATCCCCTCCACACACCCTCCCACAGCAGAGGAAGATAAATAATGTCCCTGGATGTTAGGCCTGATCAGGCCATAAACAAAGCCTTGTGACAGT